AGCGAAAGCGCTTCAGCAATGTTTACACTCTTGTTTTCGGAAATCAGTCGCTAGTTCCACCTTCTTGATGACATCACGCGTGTCGTTAAAGACGGCACGCAATGAATGGTCGGGAAGCAACGTGTAGTCTGACATGTTTCTTGTCCATGACACAACAAGATTTTAGGAGTCAAAATCGTGTAATCTGACACAGAAATCGTAATCGTGACCGACAAAAATATCGTGTGGTCTGAACCCGGCACTACAGTGACGGAGAAATGAGCTGTGTGTCATCTAAAAGTTTTAGACCCCGTCAGTTTTCCACCGGAGCCGCTCCTGTCAGTTTTGTGTTCTGCGCGTGACTCAAATGCTCCACTCTCCACCCAAATATAAAAGCTTGACCGACAAAAATATTGTGTAGTCTGAACCCGGCATAAGTTGGTGACGTGTTCTTATACTTCAGGCTGGCTGAAGGCATGGCGAGGGACGCAGCATCTCGTTCCCTCTCAGGGAACCATGGTTACATGCGTAACCCGAGACATTCCCCTTTTAAGGAATTCGTGCTGCATCCTCTAATGGACATTTGGGGAATGAAATGCCAACTATGCCATGCCTCTGCACATGCCTGTCCATCTGGTGAGAGAGCACCGTGGAAGTGACAGACATACACCTAACCTTTCCTCAGAAAGTGGTCAATCCACTGACGCCCCAGGCTGCTCACATAGCCTGGCAGAAATGGGGAACCCAGTTTCAGATTAAAGAGGGACATCCACACCAAGCTAAGAAGACAGCTACCCTCAGACAGCTATGTTATGTGAGCAAAACCTTAGCCTGATAATACAAGGACCACAGATAGAGGCTACCTACTTAGAAACCCTAGGAGGGGGATAGTACAGTCTAGATAGGGGCTCCAGGGCACCACTACTTAAAAACCCTAGTAAGGGGAGTAGTCACCGAGTTAGAAAACAGCTATCCTCAGATAGCTATCCCCCAAAGGTCCTAACTGAAGATTGCCAAGACTACAGAGAGTGGGCTATCTACTTAAAACCCTAACAGGGGAGACAGCACAGTCTATGCAAGGGGCTCAAGGAGACTACTACTTAAATACCCTTATAAAGGGAGTAGTCGCCGAGTTGGAACACAGCTATCCTCAAATAGCAGTTTCCTCAGGCAAGATTGAAGATTGCCCAGAGCCCTAGGCATGGCAAGGGGACGCAGTGTCTCATTCCCTCTTGGGGAACCATGGCCACATGCACAATCTGAGACGTTCACCTTCAAGGGAACTTGCACTGCGTCCCCTAGGACGCTTTGGGGAAAGAAAAACCCAATACGCCACTCTGCGGTGCATGCCTGTCCACCCGGTGCGAGAGCACCAAGGAGTAGATGAACATGCACCTGTTCAGCACCACCAATGACACACTGGGCATTAAATCACTTGGGTGGGGGGAATGGGGAAAGCCAACCAAACTAATAAAAAGGAGGGACATCCCAACCAGCCAAGCTGGAAACACAGCTGTCCTCAAGCAGCTGTTTCTAAAAGCAATGGGCCATCAACTTGAAACCTTAATACAGGGGAGACAGCCCAAAGCATGAGAAGTTAGGGAAACTGCCTGTTTGTAGCCTGAAATCAGGGGAGGTAGCCAAGCATAATAGAAGGGTACTTAAGGGCGAACTTGGGAAGAAGGGGGAACCCAATCAAACTATACAAAAAGGAGGGACATCCCATCTGGCCAAGCTGGAAACATAACTGTCCTCAAACAGCTATGTTTCTAAAAGCAATGAGCCATTTACTTGAGACCCTAATACAAGGGAATACAGCTCAAAGCATGGAAGGACTCAGCGCCTACTTGAGAGGGCTCGTGACAAGAGGTACCCAACCTAGTCATAGAAGCCAGGCTGGAATACAGCAGCCCTCAGACCACAATATTCCAGAGCAAAGTAAGTTTGAGCTGGAGCACAACTATCCACAGACAGCTACACTCTGAGCAGGGGCTGATCACTTAAAAGCCCTGAGGTGGGGGAACAGTCTAATATGCGGGATTCAGAGGGAGCGCCCACTTAAATATACCCTGAGACCTGGGGAGGCAGCCCACTCCTAAACTCATCTGGCTTATCACAGGTAGGGACATTCCCCAAAATAAAGATAGGAATACAGCTGTCCTCAATCAACTATGTTCCAAAAGTAATGGGTCATCCAATTGAAAAACCCTAACAAAGGGGGGAAAGCCCATACTTCAGGGGGACCGCCTTCTTGGAAGATACCCTGAAATCAGGGGAGGCTGCCCAACCTTACTACCCAGGCTGAGAAAACGCTCTGGAGGGGGAGTGTGGTATCATCTTCTGCGCTCAACTCCCGAAAGGGGGAGGAGCAGGAGCGTGCTGGCTCACTAGCCCTGTCTATGATCCTCAGATCATGACGGACCCAGACCTCTCAGAGGTAAAGAAGACCTATTCCGGCTAAGAATGAACCTCCTGAAAGTCGCCGACCACACCCATGCCATCCTGAACTCAAAGACCACTGCCTCGACGGATATGTCAAAGGAGCCCGGAAGGCCAATCTAACTGCCGATGCAACATCATGACCAAAATGGCCACCAACACTCTCAAGCATTGACAGCAGAAAACTGAGTCTCAGGGGACACCCCCAAACCAAACTAGATCACTTAAACACAAGCCGCAAGCATCTCTCCACAGAGCATCTAAATATATCCATGCCCAGCGAGACTCTCCACACACAATAATATGGATATTAGAGAGTCACAGCCAAGCTGAATATAGCTTCTCTTGCAATCTCGCAAGATCGGGGATAAAACAACTCACACTTCATCGTCATAACACAAACACTATCCGTGGCATCAGGAACCCGTTTAGAATGACTATGCAGATCCCACAGATCAAAGCAATCGCCGCGAGCTGAGATAAAACGTGCCGCTAGACACAAACGCTTTGTCCTCATCCCTCGGGAATAAGAACAAGCGAGTGGAGCTTTGACATTGTGACTCATCACAATGAGCGCGTAGCACTGGACGCGCATGCTCCTCACCTAGACAATAACGCAAAAGTCAGAACACATGCTGAACTAACAGACGGCTCCTGAAGACAACAAAAGTTGGTGACGTGTTCTGCAGGCGCCCTCTTATACTTCTGGGCGCCCGCCTGTGACTTCACAGGCTACGTGGGCCAATAGGATTGGAATTGTTTCACATGTGCTTCAGACACTGGTCCTGCTGGCGGCAGTTCCCCAAGTGTCTACTAGAGGACGCACCGTGAGTTCCGTAGAAGGGGAACTAGCTGACTTGAAAATCTATTGGAAAGAAAAGTCAAAAATGAGATCTAATTATTGTTTTTAAGGTCTAACAATACAAAACACTAACACTATCAAACACTAAACCACTGCACCATTTTTGTATATTTTAGCTCACAAACCTTATACACTAACCACCAAACCTTTTAAATATGCATTAAATTATTTATCATGCTATATACGTTTCAAAACTCTATGCTAGAGCTACACAATATAATGAATATTCACAGTATGTTTGTGATGACTTTTGCAAAGATTTGTAAATTGTATACTAAATTACTGGCATTAGAGTTGGAATCATTTACATGAATTATTTTGATTTACTTTTTTTTAATTTGAGATAAATCAGTTAGTTTTAATCTTGACTTAAATGTTTATGAAAGTTCTGTGAAAATTATATTCCTTTATATATATTATATAAAATAATATAATAAAAATATTTATAAAATAATAATATAATATAGTTGTTACGGGGTTGACAAGATGTGAGACGTGCGGGTCCATCTGCAAGCTTTTATTTAAGAGACGTGGTCAGAAACAGGCAAGGGTCAGACAATGGCAACAGGTATATAGAGGGCAAGACACAAGAATAAACCTAGGGCTAGTGTGTGTCTACGATCGGCGAACAGAATCAACAGGG